GTGTTAAAATATATTCACCTGGTAACTGTGCCAAAATTTCATATATGCAACTTCCATTTCGATGATAAAATCTGATATCCAGGTCTGATTTTCTTGGTTTAGAAGGATATCCATTAAGAATTAGCAATACAATTTTATCTAGGCAAGCCTGCTTTGCATTTGGATTTGAACATATCCGAAACTCAAAATATCTGGAAAAATATTTATGTACTGATTTAGAGCAACACATACAAATTGGTTACCCCATGTGACTAGCTGTTAATTCTACAAGAACTGTAATTTTAGATCCAGGTAAATAGATCCGGACAACCGGTGACCCCAGTGGCCACCATGTTCGTGGGGTCGTGGTTCCGGAACATCCCACGCGTCTCCGCATCCTGCACATTTACCGCCGTTTCTTTTCCACTGACGGTTAAGCCCTCCACAGTATAGTTCATGGTCATTATAGTCTGGTGGTGTTTCAAATCCAAACCGCCAAGCTGACGCTCTACTTAATCCGAAAAAACCCCCAGGATGTGATCTAATAACTCCTAAGATGATTATTGAGCTTCCATATTGTTCTACAGCACAGTACCACTATTTCCCTGCTCCCGAACTCTATTCCGAGAAAAGGTAGAATGAAAGAAAAAGATAGATAGAAAGAAAGTTACTCAACATTTTCTGGAATATCGGTAGAAATTGGAAAAAAAAAAATATAAAATAAAAAAAAATTTATAAATTGTTAAAAGTGTGGGTGTGAGAGTTTTGGCAAATCTATAGAAAATTTACAAGATATATAAAAAATGAAAAAATATCACACTTTCCGAAAGTGTGGGCATGACAGTTTTGTGCGGTTTGTGGGCGTTGGAGTGGACGTGGAAACTTTTGGTAACAAACGGTGCGTGCTTAATCTCAGAATTCTAACTTTTGTAGTTCCTGAGATCGAGGCGTTCATACGGACGGACGGACATGGCCAGATCGACTCGGCTATTAATCAAGAATATAGGTCAAGAATATATTATACTTTATATGGTCGGAAAAGTTTCCCGCTGCCTGTTACATACTTTTCAAGGAATCTAGTATACACTTTTACTCTGCGAGTAACGGGTATAAAAATGACAAAATAATGGGTTGTCAAATATCGCCCTTCCGCTTTTTTGTTCTTTATTCAATGCTTTATAAAAAGTGTTACAGTGATCGGATTTAGTTCAAATATGCGCCGTTTTGTTCGAACGGCTCCTTATTTGCGAAGAACTCGGACAGCCACTTTTCACAAGCCTCTTTTGAGTTCAACTTTACACCACCAACTCCATGTTTACACGTCTATAACTGTTGAACGCATCCAAACTAATCATGCATAGCGCCGTTTTGTAGGTTATGTCAAGACCTTTCAAATTATGTATAGTATTGCCAGATACGAGCTCTGTAGCGCTTTGTACATAGCCGCGAAATTCAAAAGACAAAAAGGAGGAAGGGAGATATATAATCCTTATATAACTTATAAGTTAACCCTTATATAACTTATATAACCCTTATAAGGACAACCTTATATTACACTTCTTAGAAGTGTGGGCGTGACAGCTTGGTGGGCATTGGAGTGCGCGGGGCAAAAAGATGTTTGGCAAACTTAATGAAATTTACAAGATATATAAAATAATGAAAAAATATCACAACATTTTTCAAACGGTAAAAGGGGTTTTGTTCTACGAATAGCGGGTATAACCAGAGCGAATGTTATAGTCGAGTTCCCGGACTAGCAGATACTCGTTACTCAGCTAGCCGAAGTGCGAACGAGAACTTTTTACATTTTCTGGAATATCGGTAGAAGTTGTGAAAAAAATAATTAATTAAAAATATATATGCTTTATACTTTATATGTGATCAGAAACGCTCCTTCTGCCTGTTACATACTATACATAGTTACATAGTATACTATTTTACTCTACGAATAACGGGTATAATGAACAAAACTGAATCAGAATACACATAAATTATTTATTCATAGTCAACAATAATTATCAAATGATAACGAGTTCAAGACATGAGTTATGTCTTATACATAATAAAAGTAGCTCCTGAAGAAAGATTTCATGTTGAAAACTGTAAACAATGGACGTTGAATTCTACGAAGTCTTTAACGGAAATTGATAATGATAAGTGATCATTTTAGCTCTGCTGATATACGCAGCTATGACGAAGTAGACTTAACACTGCTCATCGGTACCGTGGATTTGAGTGCTGACACGCAGGGTGTATCCACATACTGAAAGGAACAGATGAAGGGTGCCATTTCAATAGCAATCTCATTCACGTAGATCTCGTTGCTTCAGGTTCACCGGTTGTTACGACTACTGTCTGGATTTTATAGCCAACTTCATAGGAAACAGCGGGGAAGTAATGTGAAAAAATTTCAACATTTACGTGGTTGTCTGCGCTTAGCACAGCCAAATCCTTGGAATCGTAGCTATGACAAGCCGTTTGACTATCAGTTGTCAATGAAGGTTCGTCAAATGATCACATGATAACAAATCTTGTATACCCTTCTCGTCTACGAGGTATGGGTATACAAATCAGGCTGCGCTAAAAAATTATCATGCACTAAATATAATAAATTGTAATTTACATACTGCTTACAGCTGACCAATATGTAACACTCAATAAATACAATTAAATGGTAACACTTCGATATTTACCACGCATTTTTGAATGTTTACTATAATCGTAAATTTATTTATTAATTTTGTTAACTTGTTAAATCAATAATTTATTGTTTCCATCTTAAAAAATTAATGTTTGGTTATATTGTAGATGATTACTGTCATAGAAATTGGCAACCAAAAGAGGACTATAAGTTTGCACTCTTTCTTCTTCCACCGCTTATTTGTTTTAACCCAATTCCAGATGTATATTTTAAATTAATCGTCAGTTTGGGGACCCTCACTCCACAGTTGTCACTTTAATTCAATTTAAGATGCGTTTCCGTTAAACAACAGAATACAATGTTTTAAACTTTAATCGCTAATTGTTTACCTTGAATTCTTAAAAAAGTAAAAGTTTTTAAATTTTTAAATTTTTCCATATTGTTTATCCTTTTTTGTATCTTGTTATCCGCTTTTAAAGTGTTGAAGTAAAATTCTTGATACTCTTTTTAGAAAAATTTTTTTTTACAGAAAATGGGGTTAACTGGCATTGACGGTGCTCAATTGAGTACTAGTATGTATATGTACATCCAACAGCTTTCACATTCTTATGATCTCTTTAGTATTATTTAATGAGGGTTGTTTTAAAAGTCACTCAGATGATAAAACATACCTATGTCGACACAAATTAATATAATAGTTCAAAGCAAGACACGCTTTTCCCACATTTTCCAAAAATAACATGTACGTATGCGTTGTCTGGTTTAAATTTTTTACTTCTGATAGACATTTTTTTAGTAGTCCAATATTTATTATTCGTATTTAATTATTAAGAAATTGTTTAACCGATCTGGATTTAACTTTTCAAAGACAATACATATATTTCACCGGCATTTTTAGTTTCCTTTAAAACTGGTTTTGAGATATTTAATTGGCAACTGATTGGACCTAATTTTTTACTAAAGTTCATATTGGCGACGATAACGACAGAATTTTTATACGAGTAACTCTTGATCAGGGTCACAAGCAGAGTCGATCTGGTCATGTCCGTCGGTATGAACGTCGAGATCAACATGCAGATTTTCGTGGCGCCGACGCTGCGCAAGTTTGTTGTAGACATTGGCACAACCATTTTTTCTTTATATAATTTTTTTTTTCGTATTTCAGTCGATATGATAGAAAAATTTTGAAGTTTACTTTTTCAATTACCCAAGCTGAGTAAAAAAACTTTTCGGCACTCCCAATCTAAAACCCACAAACCACTCAAAACTGATACGCCCACAATTTTTAACAATGCTTGGTTGTCTTCAGTTTCATTATTTGTCTGGCCAATTCCTATCGGTATACCAAGAACACTTTGGCCCCGCCCTTTCATACCCCCTAATCTGTCACGCCACACTTTTTAATTTTTTGGTTTAAAAAAATATTGTAATATTGCTAATTTCAATAGGTATGCCAAAATATTTTGCCCACACTCACAAGTCGCACAGAGCTATCACCTCCCTACTTCTGACATTCTTTACATTACATTACATACTTCTTTACATTTGTTTACCCGTTACTTGTAGAGTTGAAGGGTTCTGTGAAAGTAACAGTTAAGTTACACTATTAATATGGTTACACAAGTTAATAGGCTCTAGTGTAAAATGATTATTATTTGTCGTATCAAACCAACTTTATGGCGTACCGCTGTTCCAGCGAACGCTCCATCGCACCGTGACACAACAGAAAAAATGACTTCGCTCTACGACACGTCCTACCACTTCTATTGCTCAGAGCGAACTGAGACCGAGCGCGTTGGAAAGGAGAGACTCTGCCCCAAATTTTCAGACAGGTCCGAGCGTGCTACGACAGGTAGTTACGTGACAATGAAACCATGCGCATTACTTTCATAACGCACCCTGTATAATCAATAATGTCAGGGGTGTGGTTGATTTCATATGATTGAATATGGTTCGACCGATTGGAGTCCCCAATTTGGAGTTTTCCCCAATTTCCCAATTTCATTCGGATCGCATTGATACTGTAAAAAACAACTAAATTGTTAGGATTCTTGGAGCGCGTAAAATATAATTATTATAGGGATAAGCTGAACTTACCTTAAGATGGAGGAAAAAACGTTACCGTAACCTTTTTTTAATATTTTAATATAATAGTAAATAAAGGCGATAAATAAAAATGATGGGGTAATAAAAAAAACACTTTTTTCCAAAGGTGGAAATTTAAATTTAACAAATTTTTGAAGGATATTGTAAGTCATATCGCCGCTGACACGTTAATTGTGTGTTTTTTATCGTCGATGAAAATTAAAACATTAAAATTAAAGTAAAACAGGCTCTGAAAAAGAATTCGGATTTTTACACAACATATCCTTGTTTTTGCAGGTAAAAAAGTCTACAAATTTTTTATTTTTAAATTTTTAGTGTATATAAAACAATTGTTTATGCTGTTTAAAATGAAAGCTATATAATTTATCGATAGTTTTTATTATTATTTAAGTTTTACTCACTTTGTTATTACACAATTTTGAAAAACATGGTTTCGAGAAAATGACTCTTAGAGTTTAAGGTCAAGAAAAAATTCTGGCTCGGCGGACTAGTTCCTCCTTAATTTTCTACAGTGCTTAGTGCTACGGCTTAGCTTAAAATTATCATTTTTAATAAATGTATACTGAAACACATGATAAATAAATTTTCTAATATAAACAAATTGTAAAATATTAAATGATTTAAACATTATTAACTATACAAGAAATTACAACTTTCAGTATTTATACTTGTTTAATTTACTAGATCTTTAACTACATTACTTAATCTCTTAGTTTGTGAAATATGTCGGTTATCTAATTTATTATTGCATTACATATGAAATTATTTTGTTGTATTGATATCCAACATATATATTTTTAAATTATTAAAAAGTTTTGGAATACAAAATTTGTTGTTATTGTGAAACTTGATCCAAATAACAACAACGCAAACTAATATTAGTACTAACAGTAGTGAAATTATAAAAATATACATTAATTTGTCACTTTGTATATAAACAGAATGATGTTTCTTGGTCGTAGACATTCCATTTGATTGTGTAGGTGGTGATAAGGGACCAAGATAGGATTCTGTAGTTAGGGCAATATCCGAGCAGGAACGAAATTCTTCTTGTGGGCCACATCCAACAGCTCCATTACCATCGCTACACATACCCCAATTATTGCCTGCAACATAACGCCATTGTAGAACACAGTGCTCACATGTAAAATCTGCAATTTGTATTATTTAAATAGTTAAGCTATTGGATTATATAAAAAAAAAATGAAAGGAATTAAGTTTGAATATCCTTGCAAATGGTTTCATATGACCTCTAAACAATTTAGAACTCATATTGATTTTCTGTTACTGAGCATGGAACGAAATTTTAAATTTATTTCGGTAAAAATTATATTGCAAAAAACAAATGTTCTACGTTACTTTCTTTTACTTTTAAAATGTAGTTTTTAATATTATTTAAATTTGTACGAATTTTAAGAGATTTGTAACACATCAATAACAACACATCAGTAACAAATCAATGCCAGTAGATATAAATATCTATATGGTTAAAACTGCTGGCACCGTTTCCAACTGAAGGCATATTTATTTAAAAATATATAGGCTGGTATCTAATTATTGGGGAAGTCGACTTTAACTTTTCGTCTTGGTTTTAATCCAACAAATTAAAAAAAAAATTTTTTTTTTTAACCATTAAGGCAAGCTATATAAATGATATTTCATATCATGTTTATATCCTATATATTTTGATTACATCTACTTAGCTGAAGTACTTAACCATTATTTTTGCCAAAATTATCGTGTTTAAATATAATATATTCACCTGGTAACTGTGCCAAAATTTCATATGTGCAACTTCCATTTCGAGGATAAAATCTGATATCCAGGTCTGATTTTCTTGGTTGAGAAGGATATCCATTAAGAATTAGCAATACATTTTTATCTAAGCAAGCCTGCTTAGCATTTGGATTTGAACATATCCGAAACTCAAAATATCTGGAAAAATATTTATGTACTGATTTAGAGCAACTCATACAAATTGTTTACCCCATATGACTAGCTGTTAATTCTACACGAATTGTAATTTTAGATCCAGGTAAATAGCTCCGGACAATCAAGCCTTGACCCCAGTGGCCACCATGTTCGTGGGGTCGTGGTTCCGGAACATCCCACGCGTCTCCGCATTCTCCACACTTACCGCCGTTTGTTTTCCACTGACGGTTAAGCCCTCCACAGTATAGTTCATGGTCATTATAGTCTGGTGGTGTTTCAAATCCAAACCGCCAAGCTGAGGCTCTACTTGGTGGTTCGATCAGTCTACCGTGGCCATTACATAACATTGTAAAATTCGAAGCAGCAAAAAAAAAGGCAATACACCACTTTGTTACAAATACCATGTTTCGTTATTCGTGCGCTTTAAATCGGGAATTTAAATTTACGTTTAAATATAAAAAAGGACAAAACCTAATCGGCATATAAATGATTTATTTAGTCAACAGTAAAATATCAAATGATAACGAGTTCAAGACATGAGTTATGTCTTATACATAATAAAAGTAGCTCCCAAAGAAGCCAAAAATTAATTTTACGTTATGCCAATGAATATCTTTTTATCAGAAAAGACGTTTATCAACAATAAAGGTGTTCAGTATTAATTCGTATTTGTACCTTTCGTAAAACAACTGTGTTTATCATGTTTTTTGTAGTGGTAATGCGGTATTCAATATTCCGTGGATGCGGGAAGTTAACGAGTACAATTACTGAACGAGGCCTGTAAAATTTAAAATAAGCCATGAAAGTGGAAAAAAACGTTCAAATTTCAGTGTAAGTATATGGATATATCTTATGTATAAGTTAACTAAGTTAGCCGGACTTATTGTCCGTACTCCAGAACCGGTCAAATTGCTGATCAAGCATTTGGCCGGAAGTTCTTACATAGCCGGCAGAAGCTCTGCACATTGGCAGAGGCCGCTATGAACCTTTTCCTTTGTTAGCTCTTAACCAGTTCGTTTTGAATATCAATAAAGAGCACAAACATCAGTGACTGCGGCAAGGGATCCCCCCGGCAGCCACCACTTATAATAATTGGCGCTCAACTACAGGAAACTGAATCCACAAAACTACACACAAATTATGTAAGCGAGCTACTTAACCCAAACTCCAAACTGCATTATTTAAACATTAAAATATTTTTTGCGGTTCAGTAAAATAAAACAAATTTACACTGCATTTCCATAAGAATAATTTGTTTTGTGAATTACATTTATGTACTAGTATTGCAACATTTAAACATTACAGCCGCTGCGCTGAAGAAGTATTTAATATTAATTTACCTTGCGGATATATTTAATTTCAAATATTGATTGACTGTGCGGGTAATATTATTGCACCCTAGTGTGTTACTTGGACACTGTCGCAAAGATTGATGGACTTACAATTTATATTCCATTGTGTGCATTTCGTTCAACTTTTGCATATGTCTGGACACTGTCGTTTCACTTGAACTTGAATTCTCTGCACTAGCCCCACAGCCGTCTCGGGCCTTCTTATCGCTGCCCCGACACCCGATACAGCAGCGCATGCATTGCTGTAGCAATTTTTTGCATTTTATATATCTCTTTGTCTTTGCTGTTACGATTTGTTTGTCATATATATATTTGTTTGGCTTAGCGGATGCAAGCTCCCCGAAAGCCCCTCACCTTATCGTTGCTGGACGAACCTACGGCTTCGCTGAACGGGCCCTCAACCAATGTTATTAGACGCCGACTCAGCCCCCGCGAACCCTCGCCGTACTAGTGCTCCCAATGGGCAAGACGGCTTAAGTGTTTATATACTCAGCTCCTCATGAGCAATTCATTCCGACAGTGTAGGAATTCGAAACCGAACGCTAGAGACTCAGAGTCGCCGAGAGGCGACGATTCTACAGAAAACTCTGTATGTTAAAGTATCCCAGCTAACGCATTTATTTCATATAAAATGTCTCTCGAAGCAGAACGGATTAAAACTCTCATAAGGGCGTTACAAGAACAAGCCTTAGAAAGTCAACGCAGGGAGGCTGACTTGCATAAAACAGTTGAGGAACTTGCCGGCCAGGTCGCGGCTATACAGATGCCCCTGCGCAGTTTATTCCCCCGATTAAAGTTTACAAACCTGTCGTCCTTTGGGACCATACTGAATGTCGATGCGATCATAAGTCGTCTCGATTTTACATACAGCGACAAACGCCCGATACACGTTATCGAGCAAGAGCTAGGCACCCTCAGACAGGGAAGCCTGACACTCCTTCAGTATTATGCCTAGGTTGAGAAAAAACTCACCTTGCTCACCAACAAGGCAACCATGTCCTACGAAGCGTCGGCATCAACGGTTCTATGTGAGAAGTTCCGGGATGACGCTTTGAGAGTTTTCGTCTCGGGACTCAGGCGCAACCTCACGGATGTGCTATTTGCGGCAAAACTGAAAGACATGCCGTCAGCACTCGCCTTGGCGCAAGAAGTGGAGTCCAACCACGAGCGGTACACCTTCCCAACTTCGTTTGCACAAAGCCAAGAGAATAGGGACCGTAGGCAGTATCCCAAATTGCAGGAGCGCCAGCAGGCCACTCCACAAACCGGCTCGCAGGGAAGTGCCGGGAAGAACCCGCACTTCACTAAGCAGCATAGAGCACAGGTGCACTCCGCTCTACGTAGCGACCGAATGGCTCGAGGGAACACGCCGGAACCCATGGACGTTGACCCCTCATTGTCCAGGATGCAACCATCTCACGCCCCAGCTTACCCGAAATCGAAGCTGGCCACGTCTGGCCGCTCGCTCCCGCCTAAAAGCCAAAGGGTCAATCATGTGGCCCAGGCCTCGGATGATTCGGACAAGACTTATGCCACCGCAGCCTCCAGTGCAGCGGTTAAAGTCGACGATGATGCCATCCTAGAATATGACTCGGATGTCATTAATTTTTTAGGGGAAAGTCCCTGCTACCCGTCATCAGACGAAGAGTAGCGGGGATCGACATGAAACTGCTGGTTGACACGGGCGCGTCAAAAAATTTCATCCGACCATTTAAGGGGTTGAAAAGCGTCCGCCCGGTGGAGTCCCCATTTGCAATCCATTCGATTCATGGCGTGACTACAATCACCAAAAAATGTTTTGTGTCAATCTTTAACCTTAAAGCCACGTTCTTCATACTACCAGATTTACTTCCTTCGATGCGGTCGTTGGCCTCGACCTGTTAAAACAGGCCGGCGCGCCGGTTTGCCTAGCTTCCGGTCAGCTCAAATGGGGCTCCGAAGTAGAGCACATTTTCACACTTGCCCCGATGTCAATTTTACCAACGTAGATTGCTCGGACGCACCGCCCTTAATCAAGGGTGCATTTTTGAAAATGCTCGGGAATAGGAAAAAAGCTTTTGCTGATCCTAATGAGGCTCTTCCTTACCAAAGACACTAGAATAATAAGATGCGTAACGCCAGACGATTTTTTTTTCACACGATTTTTTGGGCTGGCTCTAGAGCTGGCTCCAGGCTCTCTCGAATTTTTGTTCGAATTTTTCGTCAACGGCGAAATTCAGGAGCTGCTTAAAAGTGGCGTTATCCAAAAGTCGAAGTCCCGTTACAACTACCCAATATGGATCGTAGACAAAAAGGCCTCCGACGAAACGGGCAAGAAAAAAATGCGTTTGGTACTGGACTTTCGCAAATTGAATGAAAGGACGGTACCAGACAGATCTTGGGAGATCCAAATACTTCACGACACTCGATCTGAAGTCTGGCTATCACCAAATCACGCTCGCCGAACCGTGAGAAAACGTCATTCTCAGTGAACGGAGGGAAGTATGAGTTCCGAAGATTGCCATTCGGACTCAGGAATTCTGCAAGCATCTTCCAGAGGACAATTGACGATATTCTGCGAGAGCAGATCGGCAAGTTCTGCTACGTTTACGTCGATGACGTTATCATCTTTTCAGAAGATGAAAATGCCCATGTCAAGCACGTAGATTGGGTACTGAAGAGCCTTTACGATGCTAACATGAGAATATCGGCAGAAAAGTCACGTTTCTTTAAGAAAAGCGTGAGCTTTCTGGGGTTCATCGTCACCAACAATGGCGCGGCGACTGACCCAGAAAAGGTTAGGGCCATAAACGAAATTCCAGAACCCAAAAACGTATTTGAGGTAAGGTCATTCTTGGGCTTAGCCAGATATTATCGATGCTTCATCAAAGACTTAGCATCAATAGCGAGGCCCATTTCAGACATTCTGAAGGGCGAGAACAGGAATGTTAGCCGACACAGGTCCAGGAGTATCAAGGTAGAATTTTCCGAAGCGCAGCAACGTGCCCTCGAAAAACTACGCAATATTCTGGCGTCTGAGGACGTCATCCTTAGATACCCCGATTACAAAAAGGCGTTTGATCTAACGACAGACGCTTCGGCCTACGGCATTGGCGCAGTGCTGTCCCAAGAGGGGCTGTAGTGTACGTAGTTCGACAGATTTTTAACTAGTTGGTCTTTCAATAGTGGATGGTAATTACTAATAAAGAGGACCTTGTACTTCCTTTGCTAGGGATGCGCACTCTTGCTATGCTCGGGTCTAGCTCGCCGTAGGTCGGGGTTCTTTTAGCGCTTAGATAGTACGAAACGCTACTACATTTTAATAAGTGCGTCTTACTCATAAACAATCTTCAAAACTGGACTATCGATTAATAAAAGAAATGGCTTTATATTGATACTAATTATACACGCCGACACGTGCGAAGATAAGCTACAGATTCTGATAAGTATTGGGAATTTTGGATGTTAATAATTCCCTAAGTCTTTACCCTCCCTACCATGACAATGCTACTTAAAATATTTACATTGTCCCTTGACCAAGTTCAAAATAACTCTACCACATATTTAAGAAAGTGTTCAACATAAGTACTCGACAAACCATTAAATCTATTTATTCACAATTCATTCTTTTTCAATATATCTTCAATCATAATTTCATTTATATAAATTCAGTTTAATAAGCGGTTCCATTAAATCTCTTTTACAAACTAACAAATTTTAATCTACGCATAATTAACTCTTCATTTTCGTTTATATTTAGTGAGTAAAATAAAGTATATAAAAGTAAAGTATAATGCAAATAGTCAAAAGTAATTGAATATAAAATTAGCAAATATAGTTATATAATCTTCAGTCAAATGCAGATCTTATTTTATTTAGACGTTCGAGTGGCATTTTGTTAGAATTTTAATATAGGTAATTCATAATAATGTTTTTTATCATTGTTGTTTGGTACTACTCACGACCTTAAATCGGCTAAGTCGGCTGTAGAGCAACCAAATGCTCTTATATAGGCCTGCCCTTCCTTACGCCTTGGGGTCGAATCTCGTTGCCACTTTCACACAAATCGCACACGGAAATTTATTGAAATATTCCACTCTTGTTTTTATGAGATTGGATATATATAACTAATTTATATTTTCAAGTGTATGTGCAGTTTAAATGGGCAGCGTCAAAAATTGTGAGCGTTCGCCATAATGATCCGATAATGAATTAAGCTCTGGGAAGCTGCATGCCGGTGGTCGCTGTTATAGCTTTTCTTTTCCTAACTGTACAATCGTACGATCATATTCTGTCCTGATTGGTCTAAGACAATTCTCTCGCTTTTTGTTTTACACAAAAGCTGCTATAATTTAGGGCGAGGGTGTCTTGAAGAGTTATTGCAGTGTAAAGTTAAGTTGGTCACTACACCCACAGATAAGGGTAACGAGACTATTTCAAGGAAGCC